TTTATCGCATCCGCTTTGCGACAAAAATGTGTCGCATGCGATCAAATTTATAAAAAGCTCGTACCGTGACGTCACTATTGCCACTTTGCTCTACCCTGAAGTCAACTGTGAGCTTAATTTAAGGGCGCACTAATGTCACACGCATTGCACATAGAAGCGCAACTAACTTTAACGCAAAACTTCCAAAACCTGAGCTTTGCTTTTTTGGGAAAATTCGGGTATATAAGGGCCCACGCAGCTACAGTTAGCCTCTTGCGGTTTTGGACATAATCTCACAAATAGATTTGTGAGCAAGTATTTTTTCCCATTCTGTTCTAAGCTAGAATTGCTGCAACAAGGCTGTTAGTTATTATTCAATAGCATTTCATAGAAGGTATGTATTTCTATTAACCTTTCGAAAGATGTTTTTTTAAGAAAATGGTTACTAACAGGGAGTCGGCTAGGTCCAAGCCCCATACCTATCACCACGGTACATGGTCGGCCAAAGTACAGCCGCCTCTAACATTACGCACCGATTTGGTGTTGGTGTGGAAAGGGATTGTGAAGTACTTTTTTGGATTCGCTGCCTGCATCTGGGTTCGGTTTGGAGTGGATCTCCAGTTGACAAAGATCACGCTACTCGATTACTTGCCTGCCTAGGTATACATACATATAAGTATGTGCATACGTATGGGCCCACGGAGAGTGCCGAATTCGATAGAATAGCAGCTTAATTTTTCCAAAAAAAAAAAAAAACCCAACTACCTAAAGTCTGCAGAAAGAAAAGAAAAAATGAAGTGTTGTTGTTGTTTCTGTTGCAACGATTACCAAAAAAAAAAAGTTTCAGTAAAAAAAAAGAAAAATAAATTGATATAAAAAAAATAGACGAAAAAGTCCTATTGTATAAAAAGTAATACGCAAAACAATACGTAGTAGTGATTTATTTAAAAAAAAAAAACAAGAATTTAAAGGCGAAAAAGAAAAATTTGGAATCTTTGAAAAACCATAAAAAACACCTTCCTGAATTAGAATCCAACCATACCAACGCTGGAAGGCCTTTCATCGGTGGAGCTGGACTGCCATATGTAAGTCATCTTTTATGTTGTTTTATTTCTTGTTTCTCTTTTTCGCCATAAGCACAGCCAGATCTACGTAATAAGTATGCAGAAGCATATGTTCTCCCTGGGTATATACCTCGGCGCTAGCCTATGCAGTAGATTTGTAAGCGCATTCCTTATACATATATGTACATACTTATGTCTACCTGGTGCCCGCTTACGCATTAAAACCTACAGTTAAAGGCTCGACATAAAAACATAACAAAACTTAGGACCCACAAAACCAGTTTTGGAGTTGAGAAAACCAAAAGAAAAAAAAAACTAAAACCTAACATTTAACAACAACAACCTTACTTTTTATATGCATTTGATCTTCTTTGGCGATCAGCTGAGCAGATGTAAAACTTTCGCTCCTGATTATATATGTATCACCATTTCAACGAACACTAGCGATAGTGACTTATGTCTTTTTTTTTGTGACTGATCCCTAACTAGAGATAGGTGTTTAAGTTGAAAAGTAAAGGGAATGCTAAAAACAGCAACCTGGTAGGAAAAAGTTAAGGAAAGAAAAAGAAAATAGAATAATAAATTTCTAATACATTGGATAAAGAATTTTCGAGAGTACGGCAGTAGTAGTGTTTAAGCCTATTGTAATTATTAATTATTATTTTTTTCTATAAAAGCTTGTGTAGCTATGGAGTTTTTTATTACTATAAATTTTAATAAAACATGAATTTGTAACGTGATAAAATGACGTGGTAATTTTTTTGTATGTTCCTGGGCGACATGATAACGTAGGAAGGTAGGTGCAATTGTTATAAGGGATCTTCATCCAACATCCATATCGAAGATCATGGAAGGGAAGGGTACAGAATGCGAGAGTCGACTAACAACCTAGACCTCGCATG